AAAAAAAAAAAAAGTAGGCTAACTAATGTAACAATTGCAGGGCCATTTATCTCAGAAGACGATGTCTCAAAAGTCACAAAAAAACCAAGTGAGGGGGAATACATTTCTTGAACCTATTAGACATTAGGTTTTTTATGGTTTTTGCAAAACTAACATGTTCATCGATAATGATAATGTGTGAAGAGTGATGTATATATACCCTTTTGACTCTTTTATATAGATAAGAATACAGGTTTGCAGGCATTTCCAAAGCCCCCTGAACTCCAGAAAAACCTAACTCTTGCTACCACTGTTCAAACCACTTCTGAAGGTAAATTGAGTGGGCTAGCTTAATAGCTTAACTGTTTTAGGGCTGTCCTAGGGCTAGCTTAACTGTTCAACAGACAGAACAATATTGCTTATTGTAGCGTAAATAATCACATTGGATATATATTCTTATAGTTCTTTGTGTAATATAAAGGTTAAATACAAACCAAGTAATTTTACATTAAGATAATCTAAAACTTTCCATTTTATTATTATTATTTTTTTTCAGAATTAGCCATGGATCAGGATGGCCAGTTGGCCTGGAATAGACAGCTGCCAGATTCATCCTCAGAAGATTCTGAAAGGGAAATTCCAGGTAATGTTAAGCTATGTGTGTATCATTACACTATTTCACGATTCTGATAGAATAAGCTGTAGAAGTAAGGAACATAACATGAGAGGTAGTGATGTTATTCTGAAGATCATTATGGTTTGATCTGGTGTAGATGCTGAAGACAATCACAGCCTAATAAGGGAGTGCTCCAACTCTTCCAGTCATCGATCACACCATGAAAGTGATAGAGAGCTCTCCAGTTCTACTTTTAGACATGGTAAGTTAATCAACTTTTGTTGATTACAATTGTTGGCTACCTGACTGTGGTGTGAGTTTCCTGTTTATCCCAAAGGGGAAACAGAAAGCCAGCATTTATAAATTACATACACTACTGTACATTTGCAGAAACAGTGGTCCATAGTGTGTGCATACCCATGAAGATGCCACTGCATATAAAAGTATATGTGCCTACATGTGGCAGACTGAAATAGTCTGTTGTAAAGCATATGTGACCAGTGCTGGCAAAATGAGTCACAATGAGCAAATTTTCACAAATAAATTATTTTTATTTTCACATTCCACTCCATTAAATCTATATGATTTGTTGGAATCGGACGAAAAATGACTGAGCTACACCCATTTGATGTCGGCGAAGTCAGCAAAGTAACTTCTGAGAAAAATCAAGTTAATGTTTTCTGAAGGTTCTAAAGCAAAGTCACCTAGCAGCATTGCATCTTTTCCTCCACTTCCTTTATTAATATTAATTACTATATTAATAATCAACAATACTACAGCGAGAATAAAAGTTACGCCTTCTTTCTTT